GGTAACCGGTTCGTGATATGGATAAAAACCGGGGTTTATGAGGAAACGGTTCGGATTCCGTTGGAGAAGAGGAACGTGGTTATCTTGGGAGATGGGATGGGCAAAACGGTAATTACAGGTTCCCTGAATGTGGGGCTACTGGTGGTGTCCACCTACAACTCCGCCACTGTCGGTGAGTCAGTTGCATTAATGTTGTTATTCTTTTATAATTATTACGTCCCTTAATTGTGTGTTTATATTAATTAATTCTTTTCTAATCTTGTTTTTAATCATCTCTACACTAACCACAACTCTTGTTTCACATGTTCTGTATGAACAGCTAGATTCTAGAAGTTGTATTATACAAATGCTTCTCATCTAATCCGAAATTTATCGATTTCTAGAACCATTATTTTTCACTTCAACATTGAAAATTCCCATTTTGTTTTTCAATTTGTTTTTTGATCGAAATTGAAATAGAAATGAGATTACGAATTAATTTCCAGAAATTATTCAGAAATTCCAACATGTTTCCGAAAATTATCTTTATAATATCGATATTATTATTATTATCTAATTTGTATATTTTATGTGTATGAAAAAAAATGAAATTTCAGATTTTCGGCGATTTTGATCCCATAAAATTCCGGCGAACAAGATTTTTCCTTTCCAAATTTGGATTCTTTTAGGAAACTTGTTTGAACGAATTTCTTAGTTTTTCACTTCACAAAAAGAAAAATCGAATTTTTTTCGAAATTGCTAATTTCGGTCTGATCGGTCCGATTTCCATTCTCTTAATCCATTGCGACGAGGAAAATGATGCGGATGTTAATGAAATGAAATAGAAACAATTTTAAAGAAAAAAATGTTTTTGCATAGTCACATTTTATTGTATTGTAAATAATTTGCATAGACACATTTGATTGTATAAATAGATTGTCTAACATTTAATTCTCTAATTAAAAAAAAAAGGTGTTCTTGGCGATGGATTCATGGCAAGTGGACTCACAATCCAGAACACAGCGGGGCCCGGTGCATACCAAGCGGTCGCATTCCGATCAGACAGCGATCTCTCCGTAATAGAAAACTGCGAATTCATCGGAAATCAAGATACCCTTTACGCCCACAGCTTACGTCAATATTACAAGTCGTGCCGCATCCAAGGCAACATCGATTTCATATTCGGAAACTCAGCTTCATATTTCCAAGACTGCCTAATACTAATCTCCCCACGCCAAATCGATCCCGAGAAGGGAGAGAACAATGCAGTCACCGCCCAAGGCAGAATCGATCCGTCACAGTCGACCGGATTCGTATTTCAAAACTGCGTAATCAACGGCACGGATGATTACGTGGCGTTGTACAACAGCAATCCTAGCGTGCACAAGAATTACCTAGGTAGGCCTTGGAAGCTATATTCTAGAACGGTTTTTATCGGTTGTACTTTGGAGTCTCTTATTGCACCCGATGGATGGATGATTTGGGATGGCGATTTCGCGTTGAAGACACTTTATTACGGTGAATTTGAGAATAGTGGGCCCGGTTCTGATACGAGTAAGCGCGTTAATTGGAGTTCGGTTATACCGGCGGAGCGTGCTTACGCGTATACGGTTCAGAATTTCTTACAAGGCGATCAATGGATTCCTGCGTCTTCTTGATTGCACATAGTATTTTTGTAAGGATAGAAATAATTTTTTTGGCAGCAATTTAAGTCAGAAAGTTTAATCTGCATGACTAGTTTATCTTAAGTTAGAACAAATTTAGGCCGGATGAGATTTCGGGAAATTAGATATTACACTTGATTATTTACACTAATTCAATTTGAGTCGTATATCTACACATAATCACGCACACACCCATGTGTATGAGTGTTTACTGGATAGTTATTTAATCAAATTTACGATTCAAATCCACCCAGTGTAAATAACCAGTTGTAGCATCCAATGAGATCCTTTATTTAGGACAATTTATGATTGAAGTTGTTGGTGTTTTATAATGATTTTTATTTATTTATATATGAATTGCCCATATATGAATTTGGTTTTGAGTGCTTGTAACTTCAAAAGTAATAATTCGATCAAATTTTAAAGTTTATCTTAATTTATAGGGTAAATTACACCCACCCCTGAGGTAAGCTTAAATAACCGTAAGGTCCCTGTGGTATCACTAATTACACTTAGCCCCCTGAAACGTAGT